AATATTTATTTATTTAGTTAGTTAGTTCTCGGCGGACACAACATCTTTGTTGGTATGTGGTGCTGAGGATCGAACCTGGGCTGCACGCATGCCAGGCGAGCGCGCTACCGCTTGAGCCACATCCCCAGCCCTATACTATAGACTTTCAAAGTTCTCTTTTTGGGGTTTAACTTTTAGTTCCAATTGGAATAATTTATATTTGCTTTTTCTAAAAATTCATGTTTTTATTTTGTCCAATCTATTGTTACTTTTTTCTTTTTCTTTTTTCTTTTTTTTTTTTTTTTTAGTTGTAGATGCATGGAATGGCTTTATTTTATGTGGTGCTGAGGATGGAACCCAGTGCTAGGCAAGTGCTCTGCCACTGAGCTTCAGCCCCAGCATCTATTGTTACATTTTAATGAAAGAAGTTTTTTGTTTCTCTATCTCTGTTGCCCAGGCTGCTCTAGAGGGTCTAAGCTCAAGTGATCCCTTTTGCTTCAGCCTCCGAAGTAGCTGTGATTACAGGTGCACACCACACCTAGCTTAGTTCTTTTTTTCTGACACACAGCATTTTGCATTTGTAGTATTTCTATTTCAGTCTCTTTTAATTTCCATTTCTGTGCTAAATTACTCACCCATTCATTCTTGTTTACCTTTTTCACTACATTCTTTTACATATTTGTTGCTGGTATTTTTTTTTTAATCTTTATTTATTTTTATGTGGTGCTGAGGATTGAACCCAGTGCCTCACACATGCGGGCACTCTACCACCGAGCTACAGCCCCAGCCCTTGTCGCTGATATTATAAAGACCCTGTTTAATACAACCATCATCTTGTCTGTGGGTTTTCTGGTATTGACTTTCTTCATGGGTTAAATTTACCTGTTTCTTTACCTATCTAGTAACTTTTTTATTTGTTAGAAATTATATGTTGGGGGGCTGGGGTTATATAGCTCAGTGGTAGAATGCTCACCTTGCATGTGCCAGGGCCCTGGGTTTGAGCCTCAGCACCACATAAAAAAATAAATAAATAAAATAAAGATGTTAGTTGGACTCAGTTCAGCATTGGCCAGACTTCAGATGTCTTGCTGTGCTTTATAGACTTGCTGCTGCTGGGTGTTTTTTTGTTTGTTTGTTTTCCTCTGGAGGATTTCTTTGGTCTTTTGTTTTGCTCCTGGTACTTTCTAAGAAAGGAAGTGTGCAAAGAGTGACCTCAGATATTGGGGTATGATTTGTATGTATGTGCCTCTGACTTCAGGTTCTTTATTGTAGGTATTCCTGGAGTGGAGAGCCACTCTTTTTGACCTGCCCTACGTCAGAAATCACTGATATCCCAGCCTGTAGCCACTGTGGAGGACAAAGAATATTTGAATTTCAGCTTATGCCAGCACTGATCAGCATGCTTCAAAGTGCTAATTTAGGTAAGCTTTATTAATCTTAGTTTGTGCAATTCTTGGATTATCTTGGTATTATACTAAAATCATAGGCCATGTTTTTTTTTAATTATAAAATATAGTATTTTGTAGAAAATTTGGGAAATAAAAATTGCTTTAGGAAATTTATAATATAACATGCTGAGTGTAGTGGCATATACCTATAATCCCAGTGACTAAAGTCTGAGGCAGGAAAATCTCAAGTTCAAGGCTTTGCCTGGGCAATTTAGTGAGACCCTATCTCAAGAGTAAAAAAATAAATAAAAAGGGATGGGGACATAGCTCAGTGGTAGGGTGTCCCTGGGTTCAATCCCCAGCACCACCAAAAAGAAAGAAAAAATAAATTATAATCTAACCAATCTAACACAACTACTAACAACCATTTTCGGTGATTAAAGGCTGAGCATTTCCACCCTTAATATTATTTTCATCACCTTATTATATAATCAAAATTTATAATTATTTAAAAACATTTGTTTCTGGGGACATAGCTCAGTTGGTAGAGTGCTTGCCTTGCATGCATAAAGCCTTGGGTTTGATCCCCATCACCACAAAAATAAATAAATAAATAAATACAAACATTTGTCTAATTGGGTGCATAGGCCTATGCCCGAGGTCCTACCTACTTCAAACGATGACATAGGAGAATTGCTTGAGACTTAGCCTGGGCAACATAGTTTTTGTCTCAGAAACAATGGGAAAAAAATATAAATGAATAAAAAATAAATTGCCTTCTAAATGATTATAATTAATATTTTGTAATCATTAGTTTTTCTTTTGAAAATTTTAAAGAAAAATGTGAAGTTTTTTATAATAAAAGTACATTAACTTAGCTTCACATTACTTTTACAAAATATCTGAGGAAATTAACTTAAGATGGCCAGGTGTGGTGGCACACACTTGTAATCCCAGCTACAAGACAGGCTGAGATAGGAGGATCATAAGTTCAAGTCTACCCTTAGAAATTTAGCAAGACCCTGTCTCAAAATAAAATAAAAAGGACTGGGGATGTAGCTTACTGGTAGAATGCTTGCCTAGCATGTGGGTTTAATCCTAGTACTTAAAAAAAAAGAAAGACAAAACTGTAAGAAGTTTATTTTGGCTTTCAGTTCTGAAGGTTACAGTCTACTATCAAGTAGTTCCATTGCTTTGAGCTTGTTGTGAGGATAGCACATCATGGCAGGAGCGTGTGGCAAAACTAGGCAGTGGAGCCAGGCTTGGGTGCACACACCTGTAATCTCAACAGCTTGGGAGCCCAGGGCAGGAGGATCATGAATTCAAAGCCAGACTCAGAAAAAGCAAGATGCTACCAATTCAATGAGACCCTATCTCTAAATGAAATGCAAAATAGGGCTGGATATGTGGCTTAGTGGTCCAGTGCCCCTAAATTTTGGGTACCAAAAAAAAAGGAGGGTGGGGGTATCCTGGGGATGTGGCTCAGTGATTAAGTGCCCCTGGGTTCAATCCCTGGTATCAAAAAAAAAAAAAAAAGATAGCAGGGGGTAAAATACGGATAGTCAGATCTCTGTCCATTCTTTTCCCATTTACAGAATAAGTCTCCATTCTCTAATTTATATTGGGACCAAGCCATATTACAGGAAAAAAAATTTCCTCCTTTTTTTCTTTTAAAAATCTTCTGCCTTAAAATAATTCCAGTTATTGCCAGGCATGGTGACACATGCCTCTAATCCTCTAATCTAATCCTCAGTAGGCTGAGGCAGGAGGATTGTAAATTCAAAGTCAACTTCAACAATTTAGTAAGGCCCTAAGCAATTTAGCAAGAACCTGTCTCAAAAATTAAAAAGGGCTTGGCATATGGCTCAATGGTAAAGGGTCCCTGGGTTCAATCCCCAGCACCAAAACTTTAAATTCCAATTATTTTAAATGTAAGGGGTAAATTCTCGGGGATATACATTGAATTACCCATAATCTTCAGTGGTTTTCTGAAAAGAAAAAACAATACAGAAACAGACCTGAGGCTATTCTTTGAGTCGCTAACCAAGACTGGACTCTTTTTTTTTTTTTTGGTACCAGGGATTGAACCCAGGGGCCCTTAACCACATCCCCAGCCCTTTTTAATTTTTTTTTTCTTTTTTTAAGACAGGATCTTGCTAAATTGCTGAGGCTGGTTTTGAACTAGGTATTCTCCTGCCTCAGCCTCCCAAGCCACTGGGATTATAGGCATACTCTGCCATGCCTGACCAGGAATTTATCCCATATTGTATCTTCAGAGTATCCTTTGTCCCAAACAAGATCTGACCTGTATGTCTGTCTGAAAATTATTAGCAGTGCAAGCATCCTTGTCCTTGTTATGTGGTCCTCAGGGTGCTTGATAGGCCCCTCATGAAAAGAAATCTCTTATGAAGAAGAAGAAGGAAAAAAAAATCCTTAAAAAAAAATCCCTAAATCTCAAGTAATCTAGGTAACACATAAGGATTTATAATTTTTAAATTATTATTTTAAATAGCAAGGATACAATAAAACCTTATAGAGAGCTTTGAGGCACTTTGGGATAGAACAAAGAAAGTTTTAATACAGATTTATTTTTATAGCTGACATTCACTATGTAGGGCAGAATAGTTCAGCTGGAACATGTAACATGAGACTGTATAGAGAGAGTTTAGAGAAGGGAGGGAGGGCATGACAAGAGGTTGTACTCAGAACTTAGATTTATGGCAAAAGATTAGAGTTAGGAGATTGTCCACTAAGTGTATCAGGTCTGAATGTAGAGATTAATGGAGGTATTTCTTTGATTATCTTGTCAGGGCCTAGTCTCTCCAAAAATGTCTCTAGTGAACCCCACATTTTGTAAAACAAAGGGGTACTCAAAACACTGGAAGACTAACCCCTCATATGTGTCTTCTGGATAAGAAACTTAATTCTTTCTGATCCAGGAATGGGGTATATTGGCCAAAGAGTGTGTCCTACTTTTGGCATTTTATTAACAAACACTCATCTTCCAGGGGAGAAAAGATCTTATGGCCAAGGAAAGCAGGAAGGAAAAGAGAAAGGAGGAATGGAAAAACAGAAAAAAGAGATCACCTGTTTAAATCTCATAGAGGTCGAGAAACCTGTAGGTGGTCTTGCAATGCAGTGTGAGAGAAGAAGGAAAGGATTTTTAAAGATCATTGAGCTCCTTCACAATTATTCAGAATTCTACCAGCTCCCTAGAACGTCAGCAATCACCTTTTTTTTTTTTTTTCAGTTGCCGGGGCAGGTCCCAGGTATTGAACTCAGGGCACTCAACCACTGAGCCACATCCCCAGCCCTATTTTGTATTTTAGAGACAGGGTCTCACTGAATTGCTTAGGACCTCATAAATTGCTGAAGTTGGCTTTTTTTTTTTTTTAAGTGAGAGAGATGTAGAGAGAGAATTTTAATATTTATTATTTAATTATGTGTGGGGGGGTACAGCATCTTTGTTTGTATGTGATGCTGAGGATCGAACCCGGGCCACACGCATGCCAGGCGAGTGCGCTACCGCTTGAGCCACATCCCTAGCCCTTGAAGTTGGCTTTGAACTCAAAATCCTCCTGCCTCGGCCTACTGAGCTGCTGGGATTACAAGTGTGTGTCACCTCACCCAGCTAACAATCACCTTTTTGCCACTTGAATCTATACAGCTTGGGAATTTCCCAGCTGCCCAAGAAGGGGAGCCATGGCTAATGAGGCAGATTGAGGTTATGCTCTTTAGCCTCTGAAAGTAAAGGAAACAGGCGAATGCTAACAGAAAAAGTCGTAGCCAAATCAAAAAGAAAGTAGTCCTACCAAAGTTGATGTCTCCAAAGTTCCCCATATGGGCCACTATGAGATGTAATAGAAGAGAAAGGGGGAGTTCAACTCGGGACCAACGGGGTTCTTGGCATATGTAATAGAAAAGAATTTCAGCATGTGCCAGACAAAGACATTTATTTAAATACCTAAAGAGGTTTATTTAGGAAGAAGATATACATTCAAGGAAGAATGTGGGCTCTCTTGAGAATAAGAAGCTTAACCTCCCTTTTTATTTTGAGACAAAGTCACAGTAAATTGCTGAGGCTGGCCTTAAATATACAGATCCTCCTGCCTTTGAGCCTTCAGAATTGTTACATGTGCCACTGTGCCTAGCCTCTCATTGTTATTTCTATTTGTATCATCTTGGAGAAATGTCTTTTTCAAGTCCATTGCCCCTTTTAGTTAGGTTATTTGTTTTTGTTATTGTTGAGTTGTAGAAATTCTGTTTTCTTTCTTTTTTTTTTTTTTCTTTTTGAGAGGGGTGATGTTAGGGGTTAAACGCCAGGTCTTTATGCACCCTAGGCAAGCACTCTACCTTTAAGCTACATCCTTTTTATTTTGAGACAAGGTCTTACTAAGTAAGTTGCCTGAGCTTGAGTGTGCAATTATCCTGCTTTAGCTTCCTGAGTAGTTGGGATGGCAGGTGTGTACCACTATACCATTTTAAGTATCCTTCATGATGAATGTTTACATGCATTCACTCTTATGTATATACTCCCCCAGATTAAGATGGAGAATGTTGCCAGTGTCCAGGAAGGCCCCTGGGCCTCCTTCCCAGACAGCAGGCCCCTTCCTCTTCAGAATCCTCACTCTTCTCATCCCTGTTCACTAGGAATTTTGCCTGGTCTTGAACTTCACATAAATGAAATCATAATGTGTAAATGTTGAACCTGGCATTTCTATATTTTCCAAGAACCCCTCCTTGTTCTCTGACTTTTTTTTTAATAACATTTTGTGTTTGTTGTTCAGTCTCTCTCTCTCTCTCTCTCTCTCTCTAAGAAACATTTTCTCTTTTTTGGAGTTTTCTTTTGTTACTTGCATTGTCTGTTTCCTCCAATTTGCTAGTTTCTTCTGTGCTTGTTTTGATGACTGAATTTTATTGGAGCTTTTCTGTAAATGCCCGATGATGCTTGATTGATTGTTGCCGGGTTTCTGTTCTCGTGACTAAAAGGCGCAGGGTATACTCCAGTTGAATTGGGCTAACTGGGCTGCGCAAAATAACCACACAAAAAACACAAATCCTTTTTTCTTTGGGATCACTAGTGATGGCTCCTCTGACCTTAAGGGTCCACAGGAAGAAAGAGAGAGCATGCGCTGACCCCTTTTATTGAGGAGAAGCTATTCAAATGAGGCAAGGGGTCAGGTTTCAGGGGGCTGAGTCTATCTGACTGACATCTGGGTAGGCCACACCCAGGGGCACAGTAAGAGAAGGGGACACACACAAGGCACTTCCATGGAAGATTGTATTCTAAACAGGGCAAGGGGTTATATTATAAAGGAACAGGTGAGCATAGCTTCACCCATGGGGCTGTAGCAAGACACACCCATGCACAAGACACACCCATGCACGAGACACCATCCCTCAAACCCAAGAAGGGTGGGGAAAGCTCTGCCACATTTCTGTGACTGAAATCTCAGTACCCAGCCGGGGAGTGTGACTCAGTCATGTGCAAGGTTGGTCTCCCACAGGTTGTTCCTGTTTAAGTTCAAGTAGGCATAGAAAGCCTTTAATCCAAGTGACTTAGGAGTCTGATACAGGGAGATCGCAAATTCAAGGCCAGCCTGGGCGACTTACACTACCTTAAAATATAAAAATAAAAAGAACCGAAAATATAGCTCAGTGGTTACAGTGCTTGCCTAACATGCACCAAATCCTGGGTTCCATTCTCCAGTGTGTACATACACATACAAAAGCACACTAACTGGAAGTTTTGTGTGGAAGAGTAGGATTTGTTTACTGGGCAGTGTCTTCATTGGGTATTTATTAAAGAGCCCTAAAGGGCTGGGGATGTGGCTCAAGCGGTAGTGCACTCGCCTGGCATGCGTGCGGCCCAGGTTCGATCCTCGGCACCACATACAAAGATGTTGTGTCTGCTGAAAACTAAAAAAATAAATAAATATTATAATTCTCTCTCTCTCTCTCTCTCTCTCTCTCTCTCAGAGCCTTAAATCTTTAAAAAAAAAAAAAAGAGAGAGAGAGAGAGAGAGCCCTAAAAAGTTTGTATTTGGGGATTTTTTCTCATGGAATTGGTTCAGTTTCTCCAAGAATGATCTTACACTTTTTTACCTTAATTGCAGACAAGTCTTGTTTTTATTTTCTTTTTTTTTCAGATGTTTACTAAATCCTTTATCCTTTTATTGAGTCTTAATGGGTCAGCTCTGCTTCTGACTATGCCTTGAATCCCTGTGCCTCCAGTCTTGTTCATTTGCTCTAAGGTTCCGTGGATTTGGCAGAAGGCTGGCTAAGCTGAGTGGCATGACAAGCTGTAGGCGTTTTCTACCAGTGTCTGTGTCGCATCTGGAGTCTATTTTCCTGCTACTTTTTATTAAATTTGCCTTTTGACATCAGTGTCAACTTATTATATGATGCACTGCAATCATATTGTAGCTGAAAGCCATAAGCACAGTTTTTGCTTTATGTAATTATATATTTCAGCTTGTTAGGTAAAATCACTTCCTTTAGCAACATCAGTTATCCTGATACTGAATCATCTTTCTCCTTCACTTCTGTTATCTCTACTTACTTACCTAACCTTTTTGTTTACAGTGAGCACTTAAGATGTGCCGGGCTGGTCTAAGGATTTCATATGTAATGAAATCTTACTATCATGATGAACACATGTCTATCACAGCGAAGTATCATAATTCTCAAGGTGATAGAACTGGGGTGTGAATTCAGGCATCTTGTTCCAGAGTGTGTGCTCTGCCCACTAAATATACTTAGACATTGTGAGTGTATCTCGTAATGTTATATTTGCTGGAATCCAGAATATGTTGTATTTTTCAGGTCTTTCTGTGGAATTTGGAACAATTCTAGTTTACACATGTGAGAAGAGTTGCTGGCCTCAAAATCATCAGACTCCCATGGAAGAATTTTGTATTATACAAGAAGACCCAGATGAATTACTGTTTAAGTAGAAAATTCCCTTTTATTTATACAAATTAAAACAAATGTTAATATGCAAATACATGTGTTTACCTTATTTAACTATCAAGTTATTAATTTTTATTTGTTTATTTTTTGTTTTGGTTTTCATTATTCAAGGGACAGAACCCAGGGCTTTGTGCATGCTAAGCAAGTGCTTTGCTGCTGAGCTGCATCCCCTGCCATTATTTATTTATTTTGTGGTGCTGGGGATTGAACCCAGGGCCTTGTGCATGCAAGGCAAGCACTCTACCAACTGAGCTGTATCCCTAGCCTCCCGCCATTATTCTTGTTTTGTTTGTTCCTTTGTTTTGTGGTAGTCTGGATTGAATCCAGGAGTGCTCTACCTCTAAGCTACATCCCCAGCCCATTTTATTTTTTATTTTGAGATAAGGCTTCATTAAGTTGCCCAGGCTGGTATCAAACTTGTGATCCTCTTACCTTAGCCTCCCAAGTAGTTGGGATTATAGGCACGCACCTCCACGGAGGCTCATAATTCTTAAGTGTTGATCTTTTTTTTGTGTGTGTGGCACTTGTGAGGGTATTGGAGCCAGGACCTCCTGACTGTGGGCTGGTCTGTCCTTCAGGGCTAATGACTTGACTACACAGTGACAGGTCAGAAAGTGGCTTCTCTCCAGCCCAGAAGGCCACTGTTCCCTGCACATGCATTCTCTTGGGCATTTTAGGATGAAGGGAAAGTAGCTAATTGGCCTATTACTACCCTCCTGTCTCTACACCCCACTGCATCCTACTGCCAGCCCTGGATGCTGCCAAAGCAAAACACCCAGCCCACCTTGGCTACTTGAGGCTACTGCCTTGCAACACTGACTGCTGGGACCTGCCCCTGGTTCCTGGCGCATGATCCCTTCCTGACCTCACTCACTTCTGCTCTCACTCTGGATATTGTCCCTCTGCCTAAATGTCCACCTTTCCAGTCTCCCATTTTTTCATTTTGTTTCTATTATCAACCCTTTTCTGTCTGCTGCTCTTTGACAGCAGTGTGAAAACTCTCATACTAGCCATGTTCAGAGCTGTTCTTAGTCTGTATAGATGAGGATGATGAGGCCCAGATTATCAAGGAATGGAGTCCTTCTGAGTAGTATGTGATTGGTGAAAAATATACCTGCTCCTGCTCCTGGGCATAGCTGAGGGAAGGTGGCTGTATGTATACAAACTCGAAGTTCTCAGTGAGGCTTCAGGAATGCTGAGTTTGCAGAGCTAAAGCTGAGCATAGACCTGCAGAGGGAGCTTCTGTTTCTCTCTCATGCTCGCACAGCAACTGCCAGTTTCCTTGTCGCAGTTACATTTAGGCAGAGATGGCCTTAGCTGGCTAGACCAGTTATTCCAACTGGAACAGAAAGTAGACTGATCAGATTTATAGGTGGAGTATTTTGTATTTATTTAAATAGATAGTAATCCCCTCCTTTGATGTGAAAAATGGAGAAAGTTGTTGCACTAGAGTATCTTTAAGGATCAGAAGTTGATACAGTTTCAGATATCCTAGTTAGGTGTTATGTTTCTGATTTTTAAGATGGAGACAAACTGCTTGCTGATAAAACACACCCTTGAATCTAGTTATATATACTCGATTATAGGTCTTAACCTATGTAAGTAGAATACAGATTAGCAGGGGCATTCCCATGATCCCATTAAAAAAATTTTTTTCCCCAATACTGGAGATTGAACCAGGGGTGCTCTACCACTAAGCTATACCCCCAGTTCTTTTTATTTTGAGATAGGATCTCATGAAGTTGCCCAGCTTGGCCTCAAATCTGTGATTACAGGCATGTGCCACCATACCTGGTACCATAGAATTATTTTTGTGGCATATTTTGGAGAAAGCAAAAAAGTGAAACTGGTCAGGTGTGGTAGTGCAGGTCTATAATCCCAGTAATTCTGGAGGCTAAGGAGAATTTCAAGTTTGATTCTAGCCTCAGGAATTTAGTAAGACTCTTTCTCAAAAAATAAAAGAGACTCAGGATGTAGCTGAGCAGTAAAGCACCCCTGGAATCAGTCCTCAGTACTAAAACAAAACAAGTAAAGTTCTGTTTGTCACTCCTTAAATGACTTAGGCCTAGAAAGACACCCAGTAAACATCCTGATGAGTTGGACAGGGTTATGGTATAGGTGGGACTTCCAGTTTTTTACTTTTTTTTTTTTTCCGGGGGTGGGTACTGGGGATTGAACTCAGGGGCACTCAACCATTGAGCCACTTCCCCTGCCCTATTTTTGTATTTTATTTACAGACAGGGTCTCACTGAGTTGCTTCAGGCCTTGCTGCTGCTGAGGCTGGCTTTGAACTCAGGATCCTCCTGCCTCAGCCTCTCGAGTCACTGGGGTTACAGACATGTGCCACCTTACCTGGCTACATTTTTACTTGTTAAGGTGAGCAAGCATATTATACTTTATACATATGTGCACATACACATGCACCAACAAACCCACAAAGAAAAGCAGAAGTCCTGAATTAGGCACCAAGTATAGCCCTGGCCAAGAGAACACAGGACAGGCAGGAAAGAAACCAAAGAAGGTGATTGATTTACAGAGTGTCTGGAGAGGGAAGGAAGGTCAGCCTCCCAGGCATCTTTTAGGTTTAGCTGTGGGGTGGGTCCTTGTGAGAGCCCAGCTAATGGTGGAGAAGGATTAAGCAGCCCATTACACAGAGGGGCCCTCCACCGTGGTTGACTCTGGTTCTTCTTCTACTTCTGCATTAAAGCAACAGCCTGAGTCTTCCTCATAGACCAGCTTGGTGTGGTTGCTGAACCCAGCAGCTGGAAGACCACAGAAGTCAAAATAGTATTTTTCTCCATTTTTAATGTTTTTCTACTTTCTTCTAATAAGTTGTTTGTTGAAAGTGCTGGAAATTGAACCCAGGTCTTCTCTCCTGCTAAGCAGTAGCTCTGCCACTGATTTGCAGTCCTAGACCCAATTTTTTTTTTTTGTTTGTCTATATTTTTCTTCATGGAGCTTGAGAATTTGGGAAACAAAAGTTCAAAGAACTAATAAATATTGTCTACAATTCTACCACATACCAATACACAAAATAGGGCTGGGGATATAGCTCAGTTGGTAGAGTACTTGCCTTATATGTACAAGACCCTGGGTTCAGGTCTCCAGCACCACACACACACACACACACACACACACACACTAAAAATCACTACATAAAATACTGTAGTTTTTTTTCTTCCTGTCTTTTATTTATTTATTTATTCTTTTGTTTTATAAAATTTAATCACATTGTATTGTTCCAGGAAAATCTGGTATAAAAGGACTGGCTCTAATGCCAGGCATGGTGGGGCACACGTGTAATTCCAGCAGTTTGGGAGGCTAAGGCAGGAGGATTGCAAGTTCAAAGCCAGTGTCAGTAAAAGTGAGGTGCTAAGCAAACTCAGTGAGACCCTGTCCCTAAACAAAATACAAAATATGGCTGGGGATGTGGCTCAGGGGTCGAGTGTCCCTGAGTTCAATTCCCAGTACCAAAAAAATAAAAATTAAAATTAAAAAAACTGGCTCTAAGGATACTGTGATGCAGTTATACTGAAGAAAGAGGCATACAGATCCAGGGTTACACAGAAGTACAATTTATTTAGGATTTAATGATATAAGTGTGGTCAAATACAGCAGCAAGACCAATGAATTTGAGACTTGGGTTACAGGGAGGGACTTATATAGTGGTCAGTATCAAAGTGATTTCAAGAGCTAGAAATAAAGCTCAGTTGGTAGGGTGCCTCTCAAGCACAAGGACCTGGATTCAATCTCAGCACCATAAAAGTGATTTCATTCAAGCTGGAAGATACCAGGTTTATCTCAAGCTAACATCAAGAATGTCAGGCACATTCTAGCAGCACCAGGGGGTCCAATTGATCCTAAAGTCCATATTTCTTTTTTTTTTTTTTGAGGGGGGTGGTGGTGGTGCTGGGGATTGAACCCAGGCTTCATGCATCAAGACAGGCACTCTACCAACTAAGCTATATCCCCAGCCCTAAAGCCCACATCTAATTCTACTGGTTTTGTTTGTTTATAGAGTGAAAACAGACCTGGGTTACTCAGGAGTAGTTACACATGGTGTTTACAATTCAAGGTAGTCATAGTCAGGTTAAGCTGAATTCTTAGATGTTTAAATGGTTTTCTATATCTTTTTCATATAACCTTTTATTGTGAGCATCTCCCTCGTTGATATTTTCTCTATGACATAATTTGTAATTGATGCAAAGTATTTTTTTAAATAAATATGAAAAACTTTATACAAACTTTAGCCATTTGTTTTATCTAGTTTTTGTTATTATGGCCATCAATCACTAAGATTAAATCTCTATTTTTTGTGTGTGAAGGGGAATTGAACCTAGGGACACTTTACCTCTGAGCTATGTCCCCAACTGGTTTT